GTCAATCGGCAATTACTAGTACAATTACAACTTTAAACATTACAGTATGAAGAGAATAACCTAAATAACATTTTGCTAATACATGTTTAAAATAATAAATATTTTAAGTACTAATGTTGATATCGTCCGTAACATGTACATATACATTACATTTTAAACAAAGAATTTTTTGTTTTGCAGGAATAGATTACATGAAAAGAATATTTATAAGTAAATTAGAATAATTGAATTTCTTATTTCGGATATTCCACAAATACATGATATTTTCTCATAACTTTTTATAACTTCAATTTAATATTTATGATTTTCCTAAAATTTAATAATTAATTGATTTTTAATGTAATTGTTTCACATTTTACACAATTTTATTACCTGATAATGTTGACTCGTTCGAACGCTATTTACTACGTTAGCTAACTCTACTCGCCTTACCGGACAGCATTGAGTTGTCATAAATCATGAAGGTATTAGGTGGTCGTGCCTATCATATTTTTCGGTTCTGGTGGAACTAACTCATACTCGATTTACCGTAAACACCCAGTGTATTTCAGAATGCAGCCATAATATCTGCGTAGTACTGGCGACATTCATATCAGTTATAGATGTATTCAGAAGACATATAAAACAATTTTTTAATTGTTGAATAAGCTCTCACTATTACTCTTTGTCTAGTACTAATTTAAATATTGTAAACAATTTTCCGTTGAAAAAAAAGAGAGAGAGAGAGAGAGAGAGAGAGAGAGAGAGAGAGAGAGAGAGAAGAGCGCAATTTTCTCGCGATAAAAGAAGGGAGAAAATTTGAGGGAAATAGACGATTAACTTGAACAATGTTTTCGAGCATTTTTATCGAATCTTCATTGAGGCACGGTTATTTTCCCGGTGAACAAAGTTTAACGATATCGATCCATCAACGCTGACGTGTAAATATATCGCATACCAACATATATACTGATTGCATATTGCATCTAAACATTGATTACGACACGGCATCGTTAATCGAGCGAAAAGTTGAGGCTCGTGGCCGCGCGTTGTATATATTTTTACACCGCGAAAAGGTGCAAAAAATGGGAGCGATCGATGAACGTAGGTAAACATAGTTGCACAGAAGGTAATCAGAAATGAGACAATATACAGGGCGTGGTAGACGTGATAGGTGCGCGCGGGCGAGCTCTCATCTCGTTCGCGATGAATTTATTGGATACGAACCAATATTCACTCTGTTGACTGGAGCAATTATTTGACACACGAAGAGCCTCCGGCTGCGCACCACTCTTGTACGAGGGGGGGGGAGGGGGAGGGGGGAGAAGTCCCCCTTTTTCGTAATTTTTCATTTCCGCCCGCGAAATTAATGGTCGGCATCGCGCGGGGGATATCGAACAGCCTCGACGAGAGAGGAAGTCACGCGAGATGATTGCTCGACATTTTTTTGTCGCGGAAACGCGATTCAGTCGCCTCGCAATGTCGCAACGGACCAAGGAGTCCGCGCGAGCCCGAATGTTTTCTGACTTATGTAGCGGGCTCGGCGGGCGACGCGCCAATTCGTCGCTCGGTTTTCAACCGTGTAACGTCGAATGACGTCGTTCACCG